AGTTTATCATTGCCCTAACCGGTTTGGCTCAGTGGATAGAGCGTCGGCCTGTGGACTGAAGGGTCCCAGGTTCGATTCCAGTCAAGGGCATGTACCTTGGTTGTGGGCACATCCCCAGTAGGGGGTGTGCTGGAGGTAGCTGATAGATGTTTCTCTCTCATCAATGTTTCTAACTCTCTATCCCTCTCCCTTCCTCCTGTAAAAATCAATAAAATATCTTTAAAAAATAAATAAAATAAATAAATATCTTTTAAAAAAAAAGTTTATCATTAACAGAGTCCCAATATGGATTATATTGAATTTTAGTGTTTGGTCGCAATCCAAGTGCTGCCCTGAGGTGCAGGTTATATATGTATAAATATATGTATGTGTGTGGATCAGCTTGATTGAATAATTATATACCATATGATTCACCATTTAAAGTGTACAATTCAATTATTTTTAATATATTCACAGAGTTGTGCAACTATCACCACAATGGATTTTACAACCTTTTCATCATCTGGAAAAGAAACCAGTACCATTTGCAGTCACTCAAAGGGCAGGTTATTAAATTGGGTCTCTACTCTTTGTCTCTGTGTTGGAGCTAGAGTCATTCAAGAGGCGGAGAGGCTTTGCCTATACAATGGACTTTTCCTTTGTGCCCTCTTCTCTCTCTCTCCTGTTAAACACAGAATTGTCTTCATCTCTAGAGTTCTATAACTCTCAGAGAGGTCCTAGTTTCTCCTGTCTGAAAGGCAATTGGGGGTAAACTTCAGTGCCCAGCATCAGACACTGGCCATTTGGGAAAGCTGAAAAAAAAATAAACAAATAAAAAAGAATTTGGATGACTTAATTGTGCTTCATACATAATGTGGCATGAGAAATTAGATTATGCCCAGGAGGGACAGGCAACAGAAGCCACACCTTGGCTCCAAATGAAGAAAGAGGTGGGGCCGGGTGGCACGGGTCGTCCTAGTAACAGTTACAAAGCTCTGTGCAGCCTCCTTTCCCTGAGAGAAAAACCAACATGGCTACTCCATGGGTCAAGTTAGGTCTTCACTGATGAGAACTTCAAATCTTCCCTATTTAATAGGTAGGTCCCTTTAAATTTTAATTAATATCCAGCATTTGGTATGGAGAAGCTGGAAAGGTTGCCATGATTCTTAAAATTCAGAGAACAAGTCACACAGTTCAAAGCCTCACCCAGTTATAAGGCGTTTCCGCATCAGAATGGCCATCTTACACCGAGATCAGGGACAAGTGTGCCCAACATCTTTTGGAGAGTTTGGGGCAAAGCCAGAATTCGCACAAGCCAGTGCTTCTCCCACCACCCTGATTATTTCTCCTCTGTCTGGGGCTCTCACATCCTCTGCTCTGCCTTCTGCTGTTTTCCCACAGGTCCAAGTGCAGGAGCTCTCCCTGCTGGTTCTGCTCAGCTATAAAGCAACAAACATGTAGGGTTGGGGGAGGCTCACAGTCTCGGAATGCCAGAACTGGAAGGGATCACTGAGATCACCTGTTTTATAGATGAGGAAACTAAGTGGCTAGTTCAAGGTGACACACTGCGCTGGTGACAGAACCTGGACTGAACCCAGGTTCTGATGCCCAGCCCAGTGCTTCTTCCAGGCCATGATGCTGAAAGAAAATTCCCAACATCAAAGTCAGAACTGTGCATACCGACTCTGCCACGAAGTCCATGGTATCAAATGTGATTCGGCCTTGCTTCTTTTTCTGAAAAAAAAAGGAAGAGGAGGAACAGGAAGGACAATCAACAAGACTGCATAGAATTCTGCATTGAAACTCTTCTGAATACCTGGACCACTGTAGTACGCAGGAAGCCATGGGAAGCCTAACAACATGGCTTCTCACGTCCACCTCTGCTCCAAAGGTCAACTCAGCACAAAACTTGGGCCCAGCAGTGACAACAAATTGTTGTGAAGAGAAAGATGGGGGTGTAGAGAGGAAAGGAGAATAAAGAGAGGAAGCATGAAGAGAGAAAAGTAAGAGGGGGAAAGAAACAAACAAAAAGGAAAGGATAGAGGGAAAGAAAACAACAGAAAGGAGGGATAAAAAGGAAGAAACAAACGAAGCCAACCTTCATTGACCACCTGTAAGGAACCAGGCATGGAGCATCTTCCTTATCTTACTCCATTTCACCTTTAAAACAAAGCAGGCATTACGCCCCCTTTTGGATTTGAATGGCGTGAAGAACTTGCCCAAGGATTACCCAGCAAATAAATGGCTCCCGTCTAGAGGATGGCCAGGAGGAAGAGGAAAAGGTCTTAGGGATGAACTAGTCAAACCCCATCTCCTAACAGATGCAGACAAGATGTGGAAAGAGTAGAGAAAGGGACAGAGAGAGCAGGGGGAAATATGTAGAGGGTGTAGGGCTGAAAGAAAAGGAAAAGGCCCTGAGCACCATATAGGGCCAAACCAAGACCTTCCTCCCCACCCCCCCCACCCCCCCACATCTCTCTAGCTCAGTGGTTCTCAACCTTCCTAATGCTGCGACCCTTTAATACAGTTCCTCATGTTGTGGTGACCCCCAACCATAAAATTATTTTTGTTGCTACTTCATAACTGTAATTTTGCTACTGTTATGAATCGTAATGTAAATATCTGATTTGCAGGATGTATTTTCAGGGGTCGCGACCCACACTTTGAGAACCGCTGCTAGCTAGTCCTCATGTCCTTCCCCAGAGCCCACTCAGATCTCTGTGCTCTCCCCTCATTTATAGTTTGGTGATTCTCAGGGGGCCAATGAAGGAAAGAGGTAATGTTCAGAAGGATCTAGATTCACATACTCCACTGAAACCAGTCTTTGGCTCTCTCTGCCAGACCCTATGCTCCAGCCCTCCAGCTCTCTGCCCAGCAGTCACATGACACTATAGACTCCCCTTGAGAGGCTTCTGCTCAAGGCCACCCTAACTGGGTAATGTTGTTAGATTCAGCTTCACACTCCCCTGATGACAAAACTAACTCTGATTTTCAGCTTCCAACTGCCTAAGCATCAGCCCAGGTCTGCTGGTAACCAAGGACTCCTGGCTGCCAGGGCCCTTCACTTCACCACTGCATGGCACCCTGAGTCAGAATGTCCTTCCTGAGAGCTAATCTCAGTCTCTCAGGTTACAATTCTTCTATTCCACTCCTTCCCAGCTCAGGGCCCAACTACAGGACAGAATCTGGCTGTGGACTTGTTTGGTTTGGCCAGCACAGTGTCTTCAAAATATATTAATTTAAATGTCTTTAGATGGGGCATGCCCTTCCTCTCCAGCTGGCCACAGGCCCTTTCTGCTACATCTTAAACCAAGCCACACACATATAGTTATATTACTTGCTGGGCCTTAGAAAGCAATCTAAGCCCTAGCTGGTTTTGCTCAGTGGATAGAGCATCAGCCTGTGAACCCAAGGGTCCTGGCTTCCATTCTGGTCAAGGGCACGTACCTCGGTTGCAGGTTCCTCCCAGGCCCAGGCCCTGATCAGGCACATGCAGGAGGCAACCAATCGATGTGTTTCTCTCACATTGATATTTCTCTCTGTCTTTCCCTCTCTCTTCCACTCTCTCTAAAATCAGTGGGAAAATATCCTTGGGTGAAGATTTAAAAAAAAAAAAGCAATCTAAGACAACCTTCCTTTGCCCCATCACCACCACCCCACTCTCCCTCTCCTTGGCTACTTTCCTTCAGAAACCACTTTGGGAAATTTCTTGGAGTAAATCGCTGCATGCAAGGAGGAAGCAGAGGCTGTCACTCCAGGAAAATAGGCAGGAAAACTTTGGAGCCCTTGATAGTAATGAAAACAACTTCGGAGAACCAGAACAAGTTAACGGAATGGTGATCAACTTTTCTGAGCCAAAAAGGGGCTCATGATCTACCTTTGGGATAAAACATTTAAAATGGGGACATTCTAGAAAATGTAGAAAACATGGTCACCAGAGCAAACAGGCCCAGCAAATGTTCCCTTCTCATTTAAGTAAGGAGACAGGAAAGAAGGGAGAGGAGATAAATGGCTGGTGGACATTCAGAAAACTCAACTGGATTGCTTCTGGCTCTTTTGATCGCTGTTGGAATGGAGATGGCTTCTTTCCCACTCCCAATGTTTGCTTCCACATGAAGTGAGTTGTGCTAGTTGAACACTACCAGCCCCTGGCCTCCCATACTGAGGAGTGACAAACTCCTTGGTAGATGTGCAAGGAGAAGTGGCATGATCACCCGCTTCCCCTTCCCTCTGTGCTCATATTCTGCTCTGCCCTTCTCTGCTGGGAGCTTAAGGCTGGAGGCTCCGCTGCTGTAGTGGAGACCTGCTGTGGTCTAACACTGCTTGTGACTGCTTGTGCAAGGCTGCCTAACTTTGGGGTTCAGTATTAGGTAAACCTCTCACTTGATGGTCCAAGTCATCTTCTCCAATATAAATGTCATCATTAATGTAAGTGACAGCTGAATTCTCCCTTCTGCTTTACCTTTTGTCTTCTTTCTCAGATGGCACAGAACTGGGACTGGGGAGTGGGGTGCTATTTATAGGACCCCCTTAAACCCTGATAATCCTGCTGAGCCCAGCTGCTTACATCCCAGAAGGAGAAGATAGGGTGCCTTCTGCGAGCAGTCTCAGTGATCTGATATTCCCGGAATCCTCTGAGGCCTTGGCGGAACATTTTACATACTCGGATCATCAAAATGATATCCAGGATGAGCCGGTACATCCCCTGTGAAAACAAAACAAACATGAGCAGTGAAAACTGTCTGTTTTCAACCATCAACAGCAGGCTGGATAGTGCAGAAGATGAAATGTAATGGGATTAAATGCAGTGGGGTGCTGGAGTGATGATTACATTTTCAGGAAGTTTTCAAGACTATTGAGATCATATTGGTAGCTTGAAATTGCCCACAGTGGGAACATTTATGCCACATAAAGACTGGCAATTACTAAATGGGGGCATCTGCTTCCCCAAGGGGCAGTTGTTAAAATATTAACCAGTACAGCTTTCGTTAAATGTCAAGTCCTTCACTTTGGTCCAAAAAATAAAGAACAAAAGTAAAGACAGGATGTGAGGGGTGATGCAGAAAGCCTGAACTTGGGAATTAGGTGGATCTGAGGGAAAAATGATGGATAGATGCAATATTGCTGGCTTTAAAGATAGAGGAAGGGGACCACAAGCCAAGGAATGTAGGTAGTCTTTAGAAGTTAGAAAAGTCAAGGAAATGGATTTTTCCCTGGAACTCTGAGAAAGGAACAGCCCTGTTAACACCTTGATTTGAGCCCAGAGAAACTCATGCCAGACTTCTCAGCTATGTAAGCTAATAAATTTGCAGTGTTAAGCCACTACATTGTGGTAATATGTTAGAGCAGCATAGAAAACTAACATAACACCTAATATAAGATGGGACCATCTGATCTTTTCCCTGGGAATTTGGAATTGGAACTGAAAACAAGTCCCAAATACAAATTTGGGAATAAAGGCAGTCACTCTCTATCTGCAAGTAAATACAGGGAATAAGGAAGCAAATCCAAAATGTGAAACAATCTACAAGTTTATCTAACCCAGTTTCTTCAAAAAGTCAATTTCACGAGGAATAGAGAACAAGGTGTGGAGGCTGTTTTAGATTAAGACTCAAGAAACATACAAACAAATGCAAAATAAAACCTTGACTGGACTGTAATTCATCATAAAAATCTGTAAGATACATTTTAGGAACAAATAAGGAAATTGAATATGACTGGATATTAGGTGATACAGGGAATTCATTTTAACTTTCTTAGTATTGTGGTTGTGTTCTTAAAGTATGCACCTTGCCCAGCCGGCATGTCTCAGTAGTTGAGTGTCAACCTATGAACCAGAAGGTCACAGTTTGATTCTCAGTCCAGGCACATGCCTGGGTTGCAGGCTTGGCTCCCAGTGTGGGGCATGCAGGAGGCAACCAATCAATGAGCATGTCTCAGTAGTTGAGTGTCAACATATGAACCAGGAGGTCACAGTTTGATTCTCAGTCCAGGCACATGCCTGGGTTGCAGGCTTGGCTCCCAGTGTGGGGCATGCAGGAGGCAACCAATCAATGATTCTCTCTCATCATTGATGTTTCTATCTCTCTCTCCCTCTCCCTTCCTCTCTGAAATCAATAAGACTGTATTTTTTTAAAAATCAGGAGAGTTTATAGTTCCCAAAGAAGTCACTTTGCAAGTTCATGGTGATTATTCAGCAAACATACACCTGCATACATGCACACACATAAGCACATAAAGCCAATATGGCAAAATGTTGACTGTAAAATCTAAGGGATGATCATTATATATATTTCAACCTTTATTTTTGAAAATTTCCATAATTTTAAAAATGCAAAAACTATTTTTTTAACTTCTGATAATAAGGATATCATAAAGAAAATGAAAAAACAAACTGAAGATTGGAAGAATATATTTGCCATGCATATAATTGACAAAGCACTACTATCCAGAATTATAAAGAATTATTATTACAAAGGATTAATATCCAGAATTTTAATTTTAAAAATTCTACAGCCCTGGCCAGTGTGGCTCAGTTGGTTGGGTGTCATCCCATTCACCAAAAAGTTGTGAGTTTGATTCCAGTCAGGGCACCTGCCCACGTTGCGGGCACAATACCCGGTAGGAGGTGTATAGGAGGTAGCCGATTGATGTTTCTCTCCCTCTCCCTCTCCCTCTCCCTCCTTCTTGCTCTCCAAAAGGGAGGGAGGGAGGAGGGAGAGAGGGAGGGGGGGAAAATCCTACAAATAAAAATAATAATAACCCAATCAAAAAATGAGCAAATGATATGAACAGGTAATTCAAAGGGAAAACTCAAATTACCTATACATAATGAAAAGATTCTGAATACCATTAGAAATAATGGAAATGGAAATTACAATAACACGATACCATTTGCACTTATCAGACTGGGGAAAGAAAAACATGATACAACTATGTTGGAGAGCAATTTGGCAGTATTTTTTAAAGTTGAGGATGTGTGTCCTTTACAATCAAGAAATTGTATGCACTTTATATATACACTTTAGAGAAACTTACACATGTGCACAAGAAGATAGCCGTGAGGGTGACCATGGCACACTGTAACGGTGGAGAGCTGAAAACAACTGGTTTCCATCAGTAGGGAACACATCAACACATTATAGTGCAGTCACAGGATTGAAAATAGCACTAGCTGTGTATGTCAATGTGGATAAAGTTCACACATAATTTTGAGTGGGGAAAAGTGAAATACGATGACATTTATAATGCCATTTTAAAAAATGTGCCGCATACTATACAGTTGCTCATGGATACTTCCCATAGCAATGTATACATCCATATGTAATAAAATTTAAATATATAGATAGGAAGGGTACACATCAACCTCAGGAAAGTAGCTACCAGTGATGAGAAAGGGAGTGGGATGGTGAGGAACTTCACCTATAACTGTAATCTTTTCTTTAAAATTATATATCTAGCTCTAGCTGGCTAGGCTCAGTGGATAGAGCATCGGCCTGCAGACTGAAGGGTCCCAGGTTCGGTTCTAGTCAAGGGCACATGCTTGGGTTGCAGTCTTGATCCCCAGTAGGGGACGTGCAGGAGACAGCCAATAGATGATTCTCATCATTGATGTTTCTACTTCTCTCTCCCTCTCCCTTCCTCTCTGAAATCAATAAAAATATATTTTAAAAATAAATAAATAAATAATACCACATGATCTCACTCATTTATGGATAATAAAGACCATTATAAACTGATGAACAAAAATAGATACAGAGATACAGCAGCATTAAACAGACTGTCAAACTACAGAGGGAAGGCTGGGGAGGGTTGGGGGGATAAGAGATCAACCAAAGGACTTGTATGCATGCATATAAGCATAACCAATGGACACAAGACACAGGGGGGTAGGGGAGGCTGGGGGAAGGTCAAGGGGGAAAAAAAAGGAGACAAATGTACTACTCTTTGTAATATTTTAAGCAATTTTTTTTTAAAAAGCCTATGTGCCCCACACCCAGAAAGCATTCAAAACTGGCAAACCATAGTAAATATGGAAAAGGCTTTATTAATAAAAGTAATACTTATTGAAAACAATTTGCCATTGTTGGGCACTATTCTAAACCCTTTATATGTGGTAATTCATTTAATCCTCAACAATAAATCTATACAAAGCAAAAATCAAGCACAGTAAATCAAGTAACTTGCCTAATACTAATATCAGTCATATGACTAATAGGTGATAGGGAATTGAACCCAGGCAGTCTGGCTCCAGAATCCTTAAGTTTTGGTTTTTTGGGCTTTTTTGTTTTGTTTTTTAATATTTTATTAATTTTTTACAGAGAGGAAGGGAGAGGGATAAAGAGTTAGAAACATCGATGAGAGAGAAACATCGATCAGCTACCTCCTGTACACCCCGTACTAGGGATGTGCCCACAACCAAGGTACATGTCCTTAACCAGAATCGAACCTGGGACCCTTCAGTCCACAGGCTGACACTCTATTCACTGAGCCAAACTGGTTAGGGTCAGAATCCTTAAGTTTAACCTATTACTTTACCCTGCTGTTAGGCCTTATTTTCTCTGGATCTGGTAATAGTAGAAAAGTTGGGTACAGAGCAGGAGAGTGGGACTCAGGCTGAGTGTAGCCTATGACTCGTCCAGTATCGAGGGGGTAGTAGGCTACATGGTAGGGCTCAGAATTCAGTCTTTCTTTCCTTTTTCCCCCCTTTTTATTAAATGTATTGGGATGACACTGGTTAATAAAATTATACAGGTTTCAGGTGCACAATTCTACAACACATCAAGAATTCAGTCTTGCCCCCTGGCGTGGCTCAGTGGTTGAGTGTCAACCTGATCATGGTTTAATTCCCGGTCAGAGCACATGCCCGAGTTGCAGGCTTGATCCCCAGCATGGAGCGTGTGGGAGGCAGCTGATCAATGATTCTCTCTCATCACTGATGTTTCTATCTCGCTCTCCTTCTCCCTTCCTCTCTAAAATCAATAAAAATTAAATAATAATAATAATAAAGAATACAGTCTTTCTGCCCTGGCCAAAGTCGCTCAGTGGTTACAGTGCTGGTCTGCATATAGGACCATCTTGCGTTCGATTCCCAGTCAAGGGCACATGCCTGGGTTGCAGATCTGATCTCCAGTCCCAGCTGGGGCGTGTGCAGGAGGCAACCAATCAATGTGTCTCTTTCACATCAATGTTTCTCTCTCTCTTTCTCCCCTCCCCCATCTCTTCCACTCTCTAAAATCAATGGAAAAAATATCCTCACTCTTCCAGTGAGGATTTAACAACAACAACAAAAAGAATTCAGTCTTTCTGGAGCCTAATCCAAAACTCTATTCTTTGTGCCCATGCTGTGACTTCAAAAGGTACAAGTTAGCCACACTCATCCAAGACCCCCTCCTACACCTGCTTCTCCCTTCCTCAAAATACCTGTCTGTTCAATCTTCCACTCTTCCCTCCCAGGGCCCTTCACACTTCTCACCTGTTCCTTCTTCAAAAGCTGCCAGGTATGAGACAATATATATTTCCTCATGGTTCCTGATTTGGCAAATGACACGAGCTCCTTTGCCTTTCAAGGGTAGGACCACAAATGCTTCCCAAGGATCCGGTTATATTAGAAATGAGTAGCTTCCTCCTCAGTCTTCATACCCTACCAGTAGCTGTTGGAAGCCTTGTTCTGAGAAAATCTCACCCTCAGAATCTCCTTATGTCACAATGAAAGATTCTGGAAGAGAGAAACCAAAATCTGAAAATCTAACATTTATTGAACACTCACAGGCATTATATTAGTTAACTTCATAACTACCACAAGATGAGAGACCTCACGCCCACTCCACCCATGAGGAGACTGAGGCTCAGTGGCTAAATGACTGCCAGAGTAATGGGGCCATAAAAAAGAAAGTAGGAGGTTCCTGGGCTGGGGCTCAGGGCATCCAACACCTCAGCCTGGGGACCACTCTGAGGCTTAGAATTTAGACACCTGTATGGCACTGTCCTATAAATCTTGTTAGATCAGTAAATCAGAAACACTCAGCAAATTGGAAGTCCCTAACCAAACAGGGTACCGAATGTTGAAAGGAACTTGTAACTGGAACTCAATGACTCTGGGGTCTTTTCAAAAATAGAGAAGAGCTTGACTGGTGTGGCTCACTTGGTTGGGCATTGGCCTGTGTACCAGGAGGTTGCTGTTCCAATTCCAGTCAGGGCACATGCCTAGGTTGTGGGCTCAATCCCCATTGGGGGGTGTGCAGAAGGCAGCAGATTGATGCTTGTCTCTCATCAATGTTCCTCTCTCTCTCCCCCTCTCTTTCTGAAATCAATAAAAACATATTTTTTAAAAGTAGAGAAGAATATAGGGTCTAAAGTATTTTTTTTTCTATTAAAGATGGCAGTTGGTAATTCCAATTTGCTCTTGTATACGAATCCTCAGTGAAAAACTATGACTTCAAGTATCACCTGATTTGCCATTCCTATCCAGCTACACCTATCTGACAACTCTCCCCCAACTGACAGTCAAATGGAAGGGCACTGAACACAGTGAAGACAGCTGGACAGCTGGGAACAAAGACCCAGGCTCTGAATTACTAAATTCATAGGCCACCATTCATGGTGTGAGACACTAATCACTTACAGAGGTGAAAAGAGATAGAACTAGCTTCCCCCCACCCCTCCTTACTTGGAGAGAAAATGCAAAAGACTCAAAGACAGAGGAAGAGAAGGTTTCAGGGAGGAAAGAAAGAAAGAAAGGAGGGAAGGGAAGGGAAGGGAAGGGAAGGGAAGGGAAGGAAGGGAAGGAAGGAAAGGAAGGAAAGGAAGGAA